TCGACTATGCTTCCCTAACTGACATGACTCGCAAGACAAAGACTCTAATTTATGAAGATTTGGGATCATTTTCTTCAATTTTGACAAGCTTGGATGACCTAAACGTTCATGAAAAAGATTGGGAGACGTTTTTGTAGCACATGTTACCGAACCAGTTGATCGAAGGTAGTAAAGACCTTGAGATTCATGTCCTACGCCAATCATCCGACCCGTACCACGTTCCTGTATAACAAATGAATCAGCATCAAAGGTAACAGAACAATTAAGAGAACGAGTGAGTTGACTAAGAGATATTAAATTAAATGGACAACCAGGAATAAACAACACAGATTTTAGAGGTACAGAAGGAGTGGGTGAAGCTTGACCAATTCCTTTGGCAATAACTTTAGATCCGTCTGCTAGAGTAATAATATAAGGAAATTTAGGCTGAGAGATAGAAGAGAACAAAGAATTATTACCAGCAATATGATCGGAAGCACCTGAATCGATTATCCATGAATTTTGATTATTACCAGACTGAGAAATGCAAGCTGTTGAATTATGAGCATTAGTAAATTTTGATTATATCTATATGGATCATCAAATAATAACAATGAAGTAAATTCTTGAAAATATAGTGCTTGTAGCATATAATAAAAGGTCTCATGAGTTAGACCATTGTGATGATCCATACACAAATTAATAATTATGTTGGTATAGTCACTTTAGTGAATACCATATTAGAGAAATGAATAATCAAATGATTCGTTTATCGTATATATGAATGACTTAGTCTTGTGAGACTCTTGAAGAGCTCACATATGCATATTTGATGAAAGAGATTGAGATCAATTGAAGGATAAATTTTATAGATCTAACATTTGTTTTATGGAATTTGTTTCCATCATTTTATGTGATAAGCCTCATTCACTGATTATCCGATCTTTGAATATATCAAAAGAGGCCGCCGAAATATTGAAGTTTTCTAAACTCGCGAGTTAAAGAAGAAAGATGATTTTTGCAATCATCATTAACTATATATCGGAGATCTATCATTGAATCATTGAGAAAATGATCAAACTCAATCTCATGTCGAATTCAGGGGGAGCGTGATCAATAATTCCAACATTGTACTCTTTTTCCTTCGTCCAAGTTTTTGTCCCAATGGGTTTTTCTTGGCAAGGTTTTAACGAGGCAGTGTGACGCTCATAAGCTTTAAATGGATGTGTACTCTTTTCTCCTTCGATTAGGTTTTGTCCCACTGGGTTTTCCTAACAAGGTTTTTAACGAGGCATATTCCATAGATGGTGGACATCCAAGGGGGAGTGTTATGAAACTTAAAGGTGTGGATGACCACCATTACACCACCATTACTCCCACTACCACCACCATAACTCCCACCATCATCTCCACCATTATTCATCATTAAAAGTGTTGTAACTCTTGACCTTTGAGAGGTCTTTCTTGTACTATATATACAACACAATGTAAATGTATTTGAGATACAAGAAGAAGAAGAGAAATACATATTGCATTCTCTCTATTTACTCTCTTATGTTCTCTTTGTTATGTTGTCTTCTTCTTCATTTTCTAACATTTATCACTCTTAATTAATTAATTGAGCAGTAATTATTCGTAAGGATATTTTCGTAATTTTCTATATTTTTTTGCTATAATCTATGCACATTTATTGATTTTCTTAATACGTACGCAACAGTCAAAACTGACATACAAAACAAGTCAGAGGAAGTATTGAGTATTCAACCCCGTACGGACAATAATTACACGTTCATTTTATGTCTCAATTTAAGCCTTTTCATTTGCTAAAACTCAATCGATTGACATTTTAAGGCCTCGTTTGGCTGGGAAGATTAATCATGATTAGCTAAGTAATTCAAAAAAAAAATTAAATCATAGTCATGGAATGAATATTCTTATGATATGAAGTCAATTTAGGGCGACAAATATATTTATTAATTGACCAATTAGAGAAGAAAAGAAGGTTTCAACTTTGAATTAATGTAAACCACAAATCTAGCCGGCTATGTTTACTCATAGTTGGCCAAGTCCTTGCAACTAAACCCCACCCCCCCACTATATTTATTTATTTAATTCAATTACATTTTCTTATAAATGATTTATTTATTTATTTTTTAATTAGGAATACTATGTTCTTTTGAATATTTATAAAACATAGACACTTTAAAAACTATATAACAAAATTCGACTAAACAGGTCGACAAATCTGACCGTGACTAGTGATGAAAATTGAAATAGAATTTCTGAATTTTTTCGATCTCAATCTGGAAAATAGACCGTGACCAGGGGTGAAAATCGGAACGTAATTTCCGATTTTGATCCATTCTTTTTCGATTTTGGAATAATATTTTTTCAATTCGGGTTCCGGGATTTGTTACTTCTGATTTTTTTTTTTTAATTATTTGGATCGGAATTGAAACATGTATGAGATTCCAATTTTTTGATCCGATTTTAAGTTCCGAAAATAATTCCCGAAATTCTGATAGTTTTCTGAATGTTACACTTAAAACACCAATATTATTATGCATTTTATATTTTAGGTGACACAAAATCGGAAAATTCCGAATGCCGTCGATTCTGATTCGAAATTTTGCTGATTTTGAACAAGTTTTTTTATTCCAATTCCTGAAATTTCGGATCCCGAGTTTTTCGATGTTTTTTCTAGAACAAGATTGGAACTAGTTTCTTCACTTACGAAAAAACTCGATTTTTTTACCAAAAGGTCTAATTACGATCTTAAACGTCCGATCTTCACCCCTAGCCATGATTGACAAACCAAAAGAATTGAGGAAAAAAAAAAAAAAAGCAAAATTGAATTATTGATTAGGAAAACAAATAATAAATAAACATAATAAAAAAAGAAGTGTTTTATTATGTCTTTATCAAATTGGACAAACTCATCTCTCATCCCTTGCACCTATAGAGAGCTGGGACGGTTTGGTCGGTCGCCTGTGGGCCCCCACCTCCATTACCTTTTTAATTTTCAACCAATTAAAACTCTTCACCAAAACAAAAGGTTTTTCTACATTAATCATTTTATTTTTTCAATAATTATTTTGTTTCAAATATCATATAGTTATTATTTATTTTTCTTTGAAGTAATTATCTTTATTAAAATAGTATAACACAACATCATTAAGTTTTAATCATTTCTAAATACGGATGTAGAAAGACGCGATCGGTAGTTACCGATAGCTATCTAGTTCATCTAAATCTATTATCGACGCCATTAGGTTTCGAAAATAGATACCGTAAAAGAAAAGTATATGTTATATTTAATAAATGGATACATGTCGTATAATTGGTTGATATTTAAATTATTATTGATTGATAATTAATTCATAATTAATTTCTAATTTACTGGGTCAGGAAGCCAAACTTGAAGCCCATTACAAAGAAAATCCAGTCACC